ACTGATACAAACATAAGAGTTTGAGGTTGGTTGATGGAGACAGAAAGAGTTCATTTCATGGGGGCATAGGAAGTGAGTGGCTGAGAAAGGCAGAGCAAATCTGCCCATTGAAAACTCACCCAAATGTTTGCTTCCTCCAGCCAGAGTGCAATCCCTGTGGATGACTCTGGGAAGTGGTTGCATTTCTTTGGCCACATTAGATTTCAGAAAATTTTCCAGAAGGGACAAAGAAGCAAAAAGAGAAGCAATGAACTCCACAATTAAAAGTCACTAGCTTTGTCTAAAAGATATCCAACTAAACATTCATTGGTCGTATACCTGTAATATTAGAGTGAGCCACTAAAGTTTACCTGTTCAGTTTATACTGGCAAATCATGTAAGGCAAAAATTGGATTAAAATCTCTATCAATCAAATTGTTTTAAAACTGAAATATTTGATTCCGGAATGCTGGAGAAAGAATGTGCATTTGTGAACCCAGGAAAACATTAGCATTATTTAAGATCATCTATAACACTGTGCTGATACACGTATTCTTAGACCCACTGACATTTGTATCATCAAACTGAATAGTGCACTGCAACTCAGCCAGCATACCTATGGGTCATCGGGAAAACTCAACTGTCAGATAGTTGGAAAAAAATGTGTGCCCTAATTTGCATACCTTAAGTATTAGAGACATTTTATTCCAAAATTTCATTTGTGTTAATAAATCTCCATCTATTCTACTGTAGAAAGTATAAAACAAGAGAGCAGTTCCAACAACCAAGTTGGTTTGTACATTGTCCTTTTTAAAGCAATTAAATGCATACTTTCTGCATGTCAAAAGACACTTGCTAGGTTTTCTTTGTCTATGGTTTTAAAACTATCTTTAATTTTTTTCTTCCTGGTTTGGCCTAGGAAACTGTTTTGGTTTAAAGGAGAGATCATATGTCTACTCAAAATCTGGTCTCTAAATGAGAACTTGCTGTAATTCCAACTGACCATTGTTCTATGTAACCAAAAATAACTGAAAATTGAAAGAAAGAAAAAAATCTCACCAAAACAATAATGGTTACATTCCAATGGTTTCTTTAAAAAAAAAGTATCAATGAATGTAACTCCTGAAATACTTTATTCTCCTGAAATTTTCAGTATTTTTCTCCTACATTGACTATATTTGTTTCTGAAATAATCATAAATTTGAGTCTGCTGCCTGAGTGCAATCTGAATAAGAGAATTAATTTTAACTTAGCAAATTAGCCAGACCACAGAACTGACCACTTTGGAATCAAAGAAATCCCAGTATTCCTTTTTCTCTCCCAATGTGGAAGAAAACTGGGCTGACTTTCTTAGCACTCAGCACAGTTCTGGCCAAGATGCTCTGTTCAAGGTTGTGTGGAAACCTGGGAACTTCTCAGCCACCATGTGTCAGCTCCTAAAATAGGCTTTAGGCTCTGAATTAGGCTGAAGGTCCCCCTATCCTTGCCAACACACAAACAAACTTATTATTTAATACGTTTAAAGCCAAGAGAGTAAATTATACCTTTGGAATTAAATTCACTGGGGACAAATTCCAGCTTGTCTGTCACCAAAATCAAAGAAAGCATTGCCTGCTTGTTTTGTCCATTCCTCTCTTTTTCTTGGATGTCCTAACCTTGCTATAACCCTTTTTGCATGCATAACTCCCCGTACCCCAAATATGGTCCTAGCAAACAGTAAGATAAGTTCCCTGAAATTGGGGTTCATTTTTTAGTTCCTTCTCTTTCCCTCTGAGAAGTTTCCAGGGCCATCTGGTCTCTTTGGACATGCTTATTGCTTTTCAAGAACAATCAGCACTTTTTTTTCCATTGTCGTGTAGAATCTGGAAGTCTGAATAGTATGATCCCTAGAGTACTCTGCCAAAGCTTGCTTAGCAAAAAGAGTTTTGAGCTTTTCCTCCCTCACCCCCACCCCACCACCACTTCTACCCCTTCCAATATGATAAAATAGAGATTCAATTCCACACCCTTTGGCTTGTTTTCTAGAAGTAGCTTGCATATACCAAATCACAGGGAGATACACAAGCAACATCTGTGAGGTGCCTTTCTGATCTGGACATCTGGCTTTAGGCCACATCCTTTGAGAGGAGCATTCCAGAGTTCCCCACTTTGGCACATTCTACCTGTCCATGTTGAGCAGAATTACTGGGTAGTCTTCCTTGCAATGAGCACTGTAAGACTCAGAGAAAGGTGGCTAGGCCAAACATTCTGTTGGAACTCAGGTTTGCTAGAACATCCCCTTTATTGTCAGCACTGAAAATGACATTTGCAGAGATTCCTTTGCCAGTTGGGTGGCAGCTACATCTGCCAATAGGAGACACTAGCATGAGGTGAGAAAATTGGCAGGTGGTAAAAGTCATTGTGATTCTGGTTGAAGCATCAATAAGTATTTCCTGGACTCCTGACTTCTCATCAGCCACGGTGTCATCTACCGAACTGTCAGCATCAGGGGGGCTTATGGACTTTTGGGGTGACACTACCCTTCCACTTTTACCCCATCAGCCCTTGGTCAGTAATGGCTTCCTGCCATAACCAATCACTGATAATAACATGTTGCCATTTTTGCTCCTTCAACTCTTCCTATACTTATGTAACCAAGCCCCTACATTAAATTCCCCTGTGTTTGAAGTACCTAAAATGGTTTCTGTTGCACTTATTACTGACCAATACAAATGCCTAAGTGCTAGAAAAAGAGGAGCCTAGGATAAATCCGATCCAGTTATCTGAGTATTTATTTGGACCAACTGCTCTTGTCAAATGGATTCAGGCTATGGTCTAGGCTGTAACTCTGATATAGAAGGGTATTCATCTCATCTTCAGGCTGGTCCCTTGGCTATAGCTCATTGACCACGTAACTTTAGAGTGAAAATGGCTGAGGCTGCCAGACAATGGACAGTATTACTATCAGGAAAATACACTGGGCCCCAGGCCAAGAGAGTTGTCTCATGTTGTCCCCCAGAGGAAAGCCACAGATTTCAGTCTTAATCTCGAAGTAACCACCGCAAACACTGAGCAGTCAGGAAGGAGTCCTTGGGGTAAAGCACTTTAATGGACAAAGCTAAACAATTTGCTGGAGAATGGGAAGACACAAGTAGGATAGGAGCCAGGCTCCTACAGCCAGGGGCTTTGGATCTAGGACCAGAACTATCCCTGAATTCAGAGACTTCAGGCCAGAGAGCCTGGAGATATAATCACACACTTGGCTCTGTACGACCTTAAGCAAGTAAAGTGAGGTCCCGGATCTCATCCATAGCGTGGAGGACTGGGATAGAATGTTCTCTAAGGGCAGGTCCTAGCAGCTCTCACAGTTTGTGACTAAGTGATCCTCTGGGGCAATAGTTCTCAACTACTTGGAGGAGATTCCAAAAAAATCAGTGCTCTGGACATTTAATATCGGAACCACTGCCTTAGGGCAGCATGCCTCAGATTTAAAGGAGATACCAATCACCTGGGAAACTTAAAATGTGGGGTTTGATCTGACAGGTCTGGGAGTGGTACCAAGATTCTACCCTTATAACAAGCTTCCTCCAGGTGCTCATGCTTCTGATCCAAGGGCAACTGTATATTTGATCTTCTAAGTGGGTTCTCAAACTTCAGCCTGCATCAGAATTACCCTGAAGGTCTATTGCCATAACACTCAGAATTTCCTGATCTGGTCAGAATTACCCAAAAGCAGATTGCTAGGTCCTACCCCAGAGATTCTAGCCATGTCTGTCTGGGGTGGGCTTAAGAATTTCCATTTCTAACAAGTTCTTAGGTATTACTGAAGCTACTGGATTAGGGGACTACACTTTGAGAACCACTGCTCTCAGACAATGGTCCTAAATCTTCCACAGGAAAACCATTTGGGAAGCGTTGAGGACTCCATGGGCCTCCTCCAGCTGCCCCACCACAGGCTAACTATATCAAAATCTCTAGGGGAGGACCCAGGTATAACCAAGCTCTCAAAGATACCTAGTGAGTAGCCAGGGTGGGGATCTACCCTAGATCAGAGGTTCTCAATGGGAGAGTGATTTCCAACACTTGACAATGTCTGGAAGCATTTTTGATTATCACAACTGGAAAGAGCAGTGTTACTGGCACTTAGTGAGTAAAAGCCAAAGATGCTATTAAACATCTTACAGTGCAAAAGATAAAATCCCACACAAGGATTTGTCTAGCCCCAAATATCCATTGTGCCAAGGTTCAGAAATCGTGCCTTAACATGGGCTAGCAGAATCTCAGGCCTCCATCCCAAACCTGCCAAGTTTGCATCTGCATTTTTACCAAGGTCTCCTGATGATTCCCAGGCACAGTAAAATCTGAGAGGAAGAGGAAGTACCTGAGGTTAGTGGCTCTCTATTTAAGCACTTTAGAATCCTGGAGGGCCCATTTAAGTGCAAAGTGCTGGGCTCCACCTCCAAAGTTTGAGATCAAACCGATGGAGAGGGATGTGAGAAATTGTATTTCTAGAAAGCTCCAGGTGCTATTGCTTCTGCTACTGCTGCTTCCAGAGCCATACCCACACCATAAGGCCCACTCACTGCCCAATAAACCCACAGTAAGGTAAAAATATCCCAACCCCTTTCAGCTAAGCAAACTGAGTGCTTGCTAACCAGCCATCAGCCACCAAGGAACTATGTTTGTCAGCCAAAAGATATATATACACTCTTGGCAGGACTGTCCCTGAAAATGTCAATAACTCTTCTCAATGCCATACAACAGATCCCTGAACTAAATAAGCAGGAGCATGCCACTTCTCTGCCAGTCAGTAGCTACCTCCATAGCAAGCCAAGAAAGAGACAAAAGTCAGATGGAAGCCATCAGCATCAAAATCAGCTCTAAGGTATAGACACAGCCAGGATGAAGGGAGCTACTAAAAGCAAAGCTGGCTGCTTTTGCTTCACATGTGGGAATATTAAAGTTGCCTTTAAAATTCACTGTATGAAACCCCCTGCTCCTCCCAAAACATGTGCCTCCTGAGGGCTGTGGCATTTTCTTACCCACACAGGAGGCTGGTCTGCCGCTCCAAGCCTTGTTGTCCATACATGTGACTGTGCGCTCCCCTTTCAATGTGTACCCTGGTGAGCAATAATACTCACATCTGGAGTTAAAGTAAGCACCATCTACGCACTTAAACCCTCCATTTATTGGCATGGCAAGGGTAGGACATCGCTTTTCTGAAAAAGAGAAAATCGGATATTCAGCATTTCTTAGTTTTTGTTCATGGTTTCAGAATCCAGAAATTCTTGAAAGCATGCACTCAAAAGTTCACTGAAATATAACACGTGGAATTAGAGAAACAATGGCTGCTTGAATGTCACACAGAAGAGACACAAAGTTTCAGACCAGACTGGCCTAGGTCAGCATTGCAGCCAAGCCACTCTTAGGCTAGGTTCCCTACAGGCAGACCCTGAGATAAGGATTTGTTTGCAAGTGGTTTAATAAGAAGTGCTCCCAGGGGAGACCAGTGAGATGGGGGAAGCAGGACCAGGAAGGAGAGGGAGTCAAACCCAGTCAGCCTTAGCCTGCTACTGCTCAGGAAGGGGAGCCCTGGAGGGCAAAGGCCAGCTCTCAGTCTGTCTGCCTCCAGGCAAGGAAGCTGGCCTTTCCTATCCCTTTACCACTCAGTCATTGGGCAGCTATAGGCTGCCTGTGACCCCTTTGAACAATCAATACACACTTAAAAAATGAAGGCCAGGAAGGTAAAACAGGTCCTGTCTGGGGATGTGTACCAGTGGGAGGGGAAGGATAAACAGAGTCGGTGAAGGAGGGCAAATATGGCAGATGTATTTCATACATGAGTATGAAAATAGAACAATGAAATCTGTTGAAATTGTTCTAAGAAGAGGGGAGCAGTAAGTCTAATAAAGATATATGGTAAGCACATACGTAATTTCCATAATGACCCCCCCTGCACAACTACTGTAGGCTAATCATTTTTTAAGTGAGAACAGTCCTCTGAAAGACCACTTTCCAGTTCTTCTGAAGGTTGAAGGTGAAAGTCTTCTTCTGAGGGCCTTGCTCAGATACCCGGAACTGGTAAGAGGCCACCAGGGAAATCTGGGTGAAACTCTCCTAAGTATCTACTAGAGTCCTTAAGCTGCAAAGTCTGGATCACATGAGCCTCAGTTTTCCCAACAATGAAGTTAAAATAATGGCGCCCATATTGGATATCTTTGAAAAAAAAATAGAGTGTGTATGAAATGCTTGGCAAACACTAGGTGCTTAATAAGTGGTCGCCGTTTTGAATAACAAAGATGTCTAAAGTGGGCTTCAACAATGCTAAAGCATGTGCAACTTTCAAAATGAGAGAGGACTTTTCCTGAAACTAAAACTTGTTGGTCCCTGAAATGCAATCTCAACCTTCTCCCTCCCTCAGGCTCACTCCCTTTCACAGACTAGGAGGCACTTCGCTTCTACTCTTCACTTCTACTCTTTCCTGCCTCTCCAAGCCCCACTCCTTAGGAGAGCACTTCTTTTATATTGTTTTATTTCCTTCCTTCCTTCCTTCCTTCCTTCCTTCCTTTCTTTCATGGTACTGAGGATTGATTGCAGGGCCTTGTACTTGCTAGGCAAGTGCTCTACCACTTGAGCCATATCCCAGTCCTTTTGCTTTTAGTTTGTTTTTGAGATAAGGTCTTGCTCTTTTGCACAGATAGGGCCTGGACTGCCATCCTTCTACCACTGCCTCCTGAGTAGCTGGAATTACAGGCATGTATCACCACACCTGACTTGCTTTTTGTGATGAGTCTCACTAACTTTTAGCCTGGGCTGGCCTCAAACTGTGCATCACCTCTATTTTTCTTTAATCTGCTACCATGAGTCCCTGGCTTAGGCCCCTTCTTGTAGTTATCTCATGGTTTACACCTCTTTCATGCTGTGTCTTTTCTGTTCTACCAGACTTTTCATTACAAAGCCTATGTGTGTCATATTTGTTTCTCAATCTTCAACACCTCTTCAGGATCTAGCACTTACTAAACAGCACTTCTTTGCTGAACAAACCTCTTCTTTCTCCATTTCCCAAACAGCTGATCACACCCTTCTCTCTGAAAGGAGCTCTTCTGCTTCCACCACATCCTAGAAACCCACTGGCTTCTCTTTGCACGGGGTGTTTTCTTGTCAACATTCAGTGAAAAGCCCCAATCTCAGAGCCAAAGAACTCTGGCCCTGACTGTCCCTAAAGATCTGACACAGAGCTGGGCTACTCACGTTTGCAGATGACCTTGTCCGACCAGCGCTTGTTTGACTGGCAGATCAGCTGGGAAGAGCCTTGAAGCTCATAGCCCTTCCTGCAGCGAATGTCACACCTGGCTCCCAGAGCTGTTTTGTAGTATCCTCCTTGAGGGGCCCTGCAGTACACATCCCCAAACTTCACCTTGATGGGGGAGCACCACGGGGTGTCTACAAGTAGCAGAGAGAAACAGGAAGAGACACCTTCAGCAAATGCAACCCTTTACCCTTGCACTCCGAGTCTGGCTGCAGTCCAGATAGTGGACCTCCAGTAGTACCCCATGTTTTAGGTGTGTCTGAATAAGGTTATTACTGAGGGATTAGGTGTCAGTCATAACTGAATATGAAGCCACTTTCCTCTATAACTAGCTGTGTGATCTTGGGCAAGTTACCTCACCTCTGAGTCAACACTTATGCTGATGCCATAGGGCTATTATAAATAGAACCAAATTAAAAATGCATATCAAGAACCTAGCACAATACCTAGCACACAGTAAATGTTCAATGAATGACTGTTCTTTCTAGTATTTTCCTAAACTAGATCTAAACCCCTTGAGGGTAATGGATATCATTGTGAACTCTAACCCTGGTCATCTCTACATAGTGTGGGAAGGGTCAATAATTGGTTGATTTGGGTTTTCTCCAAACTATATGCATATTCTCTGTAAATCATAATACCACTGTTTATTAATTTGAATTATGCTACACTTTCCAGGTTTTTGCTTACAGTCACAACAGTTGCTCTCCATGGAGAAACAGCCCCCCTTTTCAGATGTCCCCAATTATGCCCTATTTAAGTAAGAGAGTGACGCCCTTACCCAGTGACAAAATGGCAGGGTGTTTTGATCTCTGTCTCATGGTTGCCCAAAACATAGCTAGGATGACACTAATAAATTGGAACCTATCTCCTGTGTTTTGAAAGGTGCTCTCTCTGAGAGCCATAAAAGGTAAGGGCAAGACTAGCTCCTTGGTGGAGAAGTTCCCATAGTAGCCACTGCATCAATTTCCCACAATCCTTGGGGACCAGTGGAGCTCTCTCAAGTCTGCCTGGCTCTCAGTGCCATGCACAAGAGCTGCTTCCCTATAGCTGTCTGGCTCAACTGTGCCCACAGGTACCTGAGCTTGTCAGTGAGTAGGGTAAGTGTGCCATCATGTGGCCAGGAAGAAGGAAAGGCCCTATTCTTTCTCAGAAATTTTCTCTTGAGGATTTGCTTCTGACTGCTTCTCAGCCATGAGACAGACCTGCAGTCCTGTCTAAGTCTTGGGTATACACCAGTTTTTTACTTTGGGGCTTTCACCTTCCTTTTATGTTTCACAGACAGCTGCAAATGGCTCCTAAATGAAGGACTCAAACTACATTCCCTGGACTTTCTGGGTAAAAGTAATGTCCTGAGGGTTTAGCCTAGAGATGATTAATTTCTTCCTGTGGATATAGATTTGTAAGAGCTTGCACCAGGCCTAAAGGCCTTCCTTGGACAGTATTTCCTTTCTCAAAGGGTGGACACAGATAGTCTGCATGCACTATATATATGTGTGATCTATGCATATATTTGTCCTGCATATACCTAGATCACACACTCACATACTGCAAGGCAACATGCAATTGTAGATTTCACCTCTTACTCCAAGTCATCAAATTCCCCTAGCAGTGCCAGTCACACATCCAAGAAATCTGTGCTATCGTCAACATGTGAAGGGAAAAGGAATTTCTTTTGGATTATTTTCCAAGAGAAATCTCTGCGAGATATTCTGACAGTTAAACAGTTCTACAGTTATCATAACTGATTTGCATTTAAAGTGCACGCAAGCATCATGAGTTCACGTGAATGAACAAAATGTTTAACATAGAGGTTTAGAGAGAGGAAGTTCTTGTGCTGCTTCAGTTAAGACAGGATTGACTAAGTAGGAATCTAGATCGATGATTCAAGAAAGCTTTTTCATCCCCAGGGCCAATGTGGTAAGCACTGTAATTGAGTGGGGTTCCTGGGGTAAGCAGCGCAGTGGAGCAGACTAGTGAGGGACCACCTTCCTCCTTCCCTCAAGCAGTGTGAATATATATAATGTTATTCCAAGTAAAAGAATCAAAAGTGATGCTTGCCACATTGGGAACATAATAAATGACAGTTAATTTTTTTTTCTTTTAAATTTAATTTATTTCAAAAACTCTTACTGAGTATATACTCTGTGCTGGACACTATGCAAGGGCCTGGGATTCTAGAGCTGAACTCTCAGTTAATAATGGTTCATCTCTAACTTTTAAAATTGAAAAATCCTAAGGACTGGGATATAACTCAGTGGTAGAGCACTTGCATAGCATGCAAGAGTCCCTAGGTGAAATCCCCATCAACACATAAAAACTTAAAAAAATTATTGTATACATTTAAGGTATAAAACACATCTTGAGCCGGGCACCCGTGGCTCACGCCTGTAATGCTAGCTACTCATGAGGCAGAGATCAGGAGGATCGTGGTTTGAAGTCAGCCCAGATAAATAGTTCGTGAGACCCTATCTCGAAAAACCCTTCACAAATATAGGGCTGGTGGAGTGGCTCAAGGTGAAGGCCCTGAGTTCAAGCCCCAGTACCGCAAAAGAAAAAAAAACATGTCTTGACATGCATATAATGAAATGATTACTATAGGTAAGCAATTTAACCGAAAATGGAAACAATGTCCTAAGAATTTATTCTTAAACATTCAGGGCAGGTTTTAAGACAGGCCTGTATTTTAGCCATCTGGCCTCTCTTCTACCTGGCAATGCTGTGAGGTGAACGTGGACACGACCTGAGGATATTAGGTAACTCCTACTGCATATGTGAAGCCTCACTATGCATGCGTGTGTTTTTGGAAGATTTTTCAATAAGGGGCTCAAAGAATAAAAAGAGACTTTTTAAAAAACCTTCAATTAGTTAAGAAGTTTTATGAATCAGAGTATCTCCTTACCTCAAACATCCGACTAACAAGTTTGTGCTTGGCTTGATTGGCTAATTCCTAAGGCTATGAAGAAAGGAGCTACAGGGAGGAATGAGTTTTTCATTCAGAAATCAAAGCAAATGTGGCATATGCTGGGCAACATGCCTGGGCACAGGTACCAGACAACAGTCATTATTTAGAAAGATCTCTCACTTCTGGGGAAAACAACTGAGGGACATTCTTTAGCCAAAGGCTGACCAATACTGTCCTGACTCTCCTATAATTCAGGCATATCACAACAGACTAGGCTAATGTCTTCTTGCCAAAATGTGGACAGAATTTCCCGGGCAAAATGCCACAATGGAATTTTATTAACCAATTTTCTTCAAATTCTTCTTCTACTGTAAGAGGAAGCAGTTTTAGAGAGAAAGCATTTAAATTTACCCTCATTTTCCCCAGGGCCCTCTAAGCTCCAGAGGAATGTTTCAGCAGTAGAATATCTGTGAATATACTTACCTGAGCCCTCATAGAGGTTTCTTGATTAGGCTTTTATACATGCTGGGGGTGGATGGCTGGAAATGTGTAGAGATGGAGTCCTTTATCATTAAGTTTCATTTGAGCAACACACTTTACCTTTCATTTTAGGAGCCATGCTTGGCTCAGAAAAAGCATGATGAGATGAGCTTATGAAAATCAAGTTTTCTTATTCCCCATTCAGTTCAGTACATTAGCAGCACTAAACCAGTCTGACCTTGGCTGGTTTACTCTGGACAGTTGTGGCTCTAATGTATGAATCATGCAGAACTCAGGGCTTGATTTTCACTTCCATCAGCTAGAGTTTGCCTTTGCAGAAGTTTAAGACAGTAAAGAAACTTATGAGAATAAAATGACCATTGGAGCGCTGAAGGACAGCATATCAGAGATTTCTAAATGCTTTTAGGTTTTTTTTTTTTTTTGCTTTTGCTTACTTTTTTAAATGGGAACATATGTGCATTTATTTTAAAAACATTTTCTCTGGACATGTAATTAAAACTTAAATGTGTTCTCTGGTCACTTTATTACAGTCTGCTCTGCAGGGCAAAAAGGAAAGTTCTCCTGGCACCAGCAGGTCCTCATTAGCACATAAGCAAAGCATTCACCTGTATAGCTACTGTGTGAAAACCCGACTTCATCATCTTCTAGCGGTGAGTCTCCCGATCCTACAATAAAAAAAGAACAGAAACTGCAGCAAGAAAAGCCACACAGTATGGACGCATATTTCAAAGCATTGCTTTGGCATAGTCCATGCAAGAGGTGCTATTAGAACGCAGAGCCAAGAGCAAAAGCTTCTGTGGCCATTCATGGAGGGACAGGGGACCTCTCAGAGTGAACCTGGCTCAGCAGAGATGGCCAGAGCCAATCAAAATGAGCCTCAAACTGTTTTGGAATCACCACATGCCAAATGAATTTCTGGAACAGGTTGAGAGAGAGAGAGAGAGAGAGAGAGAGAGAGACAGAGAGAGACAGAGAGAGAGAGAGAGACAAGTTCACTCTGAGAAGATGCCAATGTATATATATCTCAAGCCAGGGGAGACACAGTAAAATGTGTATGACTCAGACTCAACCCACAGTTTCTCCAGCAAACAAAGAAAACCCAGTAGAACTGAATGTTTATGGTATCTGAGAACCAGTCTATCTTGTGAAATGAATTTGGGTGGAGGTTAAAGAGGTAGATCAACTGTCTTATCTTAATGACAAAAGAAATGCAAAGCTGCTTTGATATATTTGTAGGAAATGAGGGTTGAAACAGTTGATCTGATTGTTTATTCAGAGTCTCTCACCTAGCCATGGCTAAAGGAAAGTTTCTTAATAAGTCTTGCTACCTAAAATCCCTTAATAAGTCTCAGGGAGAAAAACTGTATTATTTTGAAATTAACTCAGTTGGAAGTTAAAGATGAATCATTTTTATAATATTAAATATTGAATTCCAGTAAGTATTCCTTAATACTTGAAGTACTAGCAGGTCCCAAATTTCAAAACTCTTAAATTTAGAGAACTTCCCTCTAGCGTTCAGAGTCTGATCACTGACCCTAAGTTAGCACCATCTTGGCCACACATTTACCTCCAGGTATCTGCAACTTTAATATGCAAGGACACTGTTTCCTAGGATATTATTCAAATCCCTGTGCAGGATGAGTTCAGGAGTATTGATCCCTGTTCTACTGCCATTCTGGATGAGAGACATACAGTATGGAAACTGAACATGGGGAGGGGATGGCAGCTGGACCATGTCTATTTGGAAAAGATTCCCCAACCAGAGCATCTAGGTCCATGTTCTATCTTGTTGCAGATTTCCTCACCTTTTCTCTGTACATCCAGGCCTGTACAAAATTCTAAATGTTTTACTGTTCCACATCAACAAGTATACATGGAACACAACCCAGAAACATGAATAAAAAGCCTGTGCTCAAACCCCTTGATCCAATCATTCCACTGCTGGAGATCTATCCTAAGGAAATGATTTAACTCCATATGAATCTTCAATAATCTGAATAAGAGAAAACATATACACCAAACACCCAGACTGTGAGCAGCAAACTCTCTCTCACTCTCTCTCTCTCTCTAACCCCTCTTTCTCATCATATGTGCATGCATGCATACACACACACACACACACATACACACACACCATCACCTCAGTTGGCATCCTGGTTAACTAACTTGTCCACAGCATTTAGTCTGGATGACCACCCATCCATTCCATGAAGCTTTCTTCTGCCTTCCAAATGACAACTGCTTCTTGATCATCTTCCTCCTCTCTGGACAGACTTTCCGGACAGAGCTTCTTCAATAAACTGCCACTTAGTCTTAAGTGTTTCTCAGTGGTCTACTTTTAGTCTTTTACATAGCTTCAGACTATTTTCTCTGGGTCATCCCACTCATATACTTGATTTAAACTATCTACCAGGTACTTACAACAAATTCATTTTATCCCAGACTTGAACTTTCTTCTAAAAGTCAGGTTATAATTTTCAATGGTTTTCTGAGTACCTCCGCACTTATACTCAACTTGTTCAAAATCAGATTCCTTTTCTCATCACCAAATCTGCACAGCTCCCAGTGTTTGCCATTTCCTCAAACAGCATCACCTTCCAGATAATCTCCTGCATGGAAAAAGCTCGACCTTTTATTCTTCAATCTCCCTCCTTCACCTTTATAGCCCAAACCTTTCAAAACTATCCCTAACTCTCCATTTTAACAGCCAGTAGGTTAGTTGAGGTCTTTTTTAAATTTTATTTTTAACTGATACATAATAATTGTACATACGTATGGGATACAATATGCTTTGATACATACACACATTGTGTAATGATCAAATCAGGGTAAGTAGCATGTGAATCTGTGAATCACTTCAAATATTCACCATTTCTTTATAGTGAAAACATTCAAAATCTTCTCTTCTAGTCACCTTGCTGTGCAATAGAGCACTGGAACTCATTCCTCCTATCTGACTGTAGTTTAGTATCCAGTGCAGGCCAATAGTCTTCATAAGACCTTTGCAACAGTCTCCTACTCAGTCTCTCACCACTAGTCTCTCTTCACACTCCTAATACTGCCTCCCCATCCCCTGCAAAAAAATCCTCAAAATTGGGTACACCCTGAAAAAGAAGGCATGGTAGGCAATTTCTTTGTTGTGTGAACCTCACAGAGTGAACTCACACAAGCTAAGATGGCTACATCACTAGGCGATATAATCTCATGTGACCACGTCCACCTCACATGCAGTTCCTCCTGAATCAGAATGCTGGAATGCTGAACATGACAGTAATTCCCATCTCTGACCCTTGACAGGCCTAGGATTAACAGCAGTGCAGTTTGCAACAGGTTTTGGTTTCAGTATACCATTCTCCAATGGATGGAACCAGCACTCCTAGGAGAAGCAGTTGATTCCAAGGTTGAGGAAAGGAAATACAAGATGAGCTTTGAACATCTTATTATGACAGAAATTAAGGAAGAATTCAAGAAAAACTTGGGTGGAGTGGCTAGTCCAAAACATCCCAGAAAACTTGAAGCAGCTAGGCCAAAGCCCAAATTATGTGAAAGAGAAAATAAATAACCAGAGTATTAGATCAAAACTCATAGAATAAAATACACATCTATGAGTGTTTAATTGTATAAGTAATCCAATAAATAAATAAATAAACAAGAAAGGTCAATTCTTTCTTACAGTAGATTCCCAATTAATAAATGCAGAAGAGAACAGGGAAATAGAAAATCACCATTAGGCAGAAGAAAAAGAAAGAAAGAGAGAAACAGGGAGAAAAGTAAACAGAAATCTTCAAAAATATCATGGAAGTTAGTTTTTAAAACAAAAATCATATAATTGACCTATGCAAATACCTTGCCCATATCTATAGAGTTAAATCGACCTCAATATCACATTTAAATTATATTCAATCTGGCCTCAATCCAGCCAGACTTGTTCTTCAATTATTCCATGACTTTATGACATAGTTTCTGGACCAATGCACCATGCTCTTCCCTCAGAACAATCTTTCTTTGCTTGTCAAAATCCCTCTGTCAAGTATCATTGCCATGATGCCTTTCCTTATTCCCAATGATTCAAGCTTATTAAAATTTAAAAGAGAAAAATCTCAACCAGATGTGGTGGTACTCGTCTGTAATCCCAGTGCTAGGGAGGCTGAAGCAGGAGGATCTTGAGTTTGAGGCAAGTCCCAACTTGCCTGGGCCACATAGAAAGACACTGTCTCATAAAACAAACACAAAAGTGGTCAAGTTTATCAAAAACAAGGAAAGTGACAGAAACTGTCAAAGCCAAAAAGAGCATAAGGAGACATGATCACTAAAGGTCATGTGGTATCCCAGATGGGATCCTGCAACAGAAAAGGGAAACCTACATAAAGTATGAACTCTAGTTAATAATGCATTGACATTGGTGCATTAATCATAGCAAACGTGCCATACCAATGTAAGATGCTAATAATAGAAGAAACTGGGTGTGGGATGTGTGGGAGCTCTCTGTACTCTTTCCAACTTTCCTGTAAATCTAAACTTCTAAAGATAAAGGATTCTTTTTCGAAAAACCACTAAACTAATGTCCCCAGAGATGAAGAGCAAAAAGTCTTAAGTCTGCAACTCAATCCTCCTCTAAACTCCTGCATACCTTACTGTTTCACTAAATTGGCACTCAGTGAAATTAGACTCAGATTGTACTCATATAACCTCTAGCACCAGGCCTGTTAGGGTGATAGTCACTCTCATTACTTGGAGCTAATAGGCAGGGAATCAAAAGGAGATTAGAGATAGTGTAAATATGTGATCGTGGTTTGAAGTAGCTTCTGTTTCTAAATTCATTTAACTAGAAATGTAATGTTTCACGTGGCTCTGAGGCACAATGAGAACAGAGAACACACAGAGCAAATAGCAGTAAAAGTATAAATCTCAAGGGACTTGAGAGGCTGAGGTCTTGGGCTAGTCCTCTTGGGAGACTGAGGTCCTGGGCCAGGCTTGAAGAAGTCAACTCTTTGTACATATTTTGGAGAAGGATGCACAATATCAAAGTGGCAGCTGCCTTGGGCAACCTTGCAAGTGTACATCTGTCTCATGGTCAAAGAGAGCATGCAGGGTTAAACTTTTCTACAATGAAACAAAGTGGCCAGGAAGCCAAGACTTTCAGTTCTCAGCCTGTCTGTGAATGCTGAGCAAGGCAGCCCCAGTCCCCAACAACCTCATCTTCACCGTTAGGTGAGCAGCCCCCTCTTCCCCATGTTCCTCTCAGTAAGGCCTCATGACAGGCCTCCAGCTGCCTCTCTCATCATCTTCTTTTTCTCATCCTTCTCCTCCTCATCCTCTTCCTCTCTTCTTCTCCCTGTCCTCCCCCACTCCTCCCCTTCCTCTTCCTTTTTTGGCAGTGCTGAGATTACACCCAGGGCCTCATGCTTATTAGTCCTTTCTTCTTAACAAAAGATCTTAGGTTGTATTCAGCAGCAACTTGCCCCACCCCAGAAGATGAATCATGATAACTCTAATTCAAAAAATAATTCATTTTTGCTGATAATTGCTCCAGGCTTAGGTATGGAACACAGTATTGGACAAGTACAAACAACTCTGCTTTGAGGAGAGCAGTCTGACTAGAAGGAGGTTTCCCCGTGACCAAAGAGAGAACTTCATAAGGAGAAGACTCTTTTCCCTCTTTTCT